GAGTTTGGAGGATGTTGATTGACCATTAGGATACAAAATCTCGACAAAAAAAAATTTGAAATTTCATCGTTTTAGTAAGAACATGGCTACCTTATGATTTAGATTTTCGAAAACTTTGGAAGGGCATAACTTTTTTTCTATTATAGATAGAAAGCTGAAGTTTTCACTGAATCTTATCTCAGGTTTTGTAGAGAATTTAATTGGCTTTAATAGGAGTTTAATCACATTGAAATCGGATAATGATTAACGAAGCTGTGAGGCAAAAACTGTCTCGGAGTAATTTTTGGCAAACTTTCAATATTCGATAAATTCAATTTTGAAGGTTTTCAGGTGCAAAACTGTTGAAATTAATATACAATTTTGTCTAGCTAAGTAAACATAAAAACCCTAGGAAAATACAAAAACCATCAACAACCCTGAGAAAAATACAGGGAATTCATCAAGAGCCTGGAACAAAGATATTAAAGAAACTCAAGAACTTGGAATAGAAAAAACTACTAATTTTTTCAAATTTCTTCTCTCTAATCCTTATTTTTTTCTTGAACCTTAATTTTTTTAAATTTCCTTGAATAAAAAAAACATTAAGACAACCTTAAAAGGGACTGGAATGGGAGCTGAAGAAATTTCAAAAAGATACATGGAATTCAATAGTAGCGTGGAAAAACAAAATTAGGAAAACCCAATAAATAATTACTTACCCTTAGGTTTCATATAGTAGGTATAGTTTTCCATTGATTTGCAACATTTCCTGTAAAAAAAAAATACATATAGATTCAGTTTGACAGAAGTTGCTTTACAACTAATCTATCAATGAGTTTAAATTTACTGCTTTTAGAAAAATTATACAATGAATCAAGAGCCAGTTTTAGATAATTAACGGCTCTTGATTGTTTCTGTTATCAATGAATCATGAGTGAATGATTGATTGAATTATTCTTGGCTCATAATTGGACTAATAAAAATACAAATCTGGTCTCATAGGCAAAAAATATAGTACCAACCAACAATAGTACCTACCTATACCTACATAATTCAAGATTCAAGTAGGTAATAAAGCAATTAAGAGCTCATAAAATAAATATTATAGGTACATACTTTTCTATTATTGCATAATTTGCTTCCTAAAACACTCATTACGTAATATAGTATTAAATATCAGAGTAAAAAGCTTATTTTTACCATTTAAATTTGAGTGCAAAAGCTCAAAATTTCAATTCCCGACTTTCTACTACCGTCACTTTTTGAGTTTGAAATTATTTTCCAAACCTTCAAAGAAGCATAAAATTTTTATTCCCGGCTCTCCAAAAGCATGAATTCAAAATTTCTGGACACAGAATTGAAGTAAATCAGCATGAAATTCTGATTTCTGACCCAGAGCACCATTTTCTGAACCCTTTAGAACTAAAAATGAATTATAGAAGCGTTAAAATCCCATTCTCGGCTCTCCTAAAACTTTTTGCATGTAAAGAGAAAGGTGAGAAGCTCATTTTCCCAAAATTTCAAATTTTTCCAGTAGAAATCAGCAACATGAAAAATCTTGGAAATCAACCTACAAAAACTGAATTAGTTGAAAATACAGTCTCACACATTTTAAAGTTTTCCTGGAAAACTAGTGAACGGAAATTTTTGAAACTTTTTGCATATAAAGAGGAAGGCGAGAAGCTCATTTTCCCAAAGTTTCAAGTTTTTCCAGTAGAAAACAGCAACATGAAAAATCTTGGAAATCAACCTACAAAAACTGAATAAGTTGAAAATACAGTCTCACACATTTCCTGGAAAACTAGAGAAGGGAAAATTTTGAAACTTTTTGCATATAAAGAGGAAGGTGAGAAGCTCATTTTCCCCGAATTTCAAATTTTTCCAGTAGAAAATTACAACATAAGGAATCTTGAAAATCAACCTACAATAACTGAATTAATTGAAAATACAGTCTCACATATTTCAAAGTTTTCCTGGAAAACTAGTGAAGGGAAAATTTTGAAACTTTTTGCATGTAAAGAGAAAAGTAAGAAGCTCATTTTCCCAAAATTTTAAATTTTTCCAGTAGAAAGCAGCAACATGAAAAATCTTGAAAATCAACCTAAAAAAAACTGAATAAGTTGAAAATACAGTCTCACACATTTCAAAGTTTTCCTGGAAAACTAGTGAAGGGACAATTTTGAAACTTTTTGCACGTGAAGAGGAAGGTGAGATACTCATTTTCCCAGAATTTCAAATTTTTCCAGTAGAAAATTACAACATGAAGAATTTTGAAAATCAACCTACAATAACTGAAATATTGAAAATACAGTCTCACACATTTCAAAGTTTTCCTGGAAAACTAGTAAATGAAAAAATTTGAAACTTTTTGTATGTAAAGAAGAAGGTGAGAAGCCCATTTTCCCAAAATTTCAAATTTTTCCAGTAGAAAATAACAACATGAGGAATTTTGGAAATCAACCTACAATAACTGAATTAATTGAAAATACAGTATCACATATTTCAAAGTTTTCCTGGAAAACTAGTAAATGAAAAAATTTGAAACTTTTTGCATGTAAAGAAGAAGGTGAGAAGCCCATTTTCCCAAAATTTCAAATTTTTCCAGTGGAAAATAACAACATGAGGAATTTTGGAAATCAACCTACAATAACTGAATTAATTGAAAATACAGTATCACATATTTCAAAGTTTTCTTGGAAAACTAGTAAAGAGAAAATTTTGAAACTTTTTGTATGTAAAGAAGAAGGTGAGAAGCTCATTTTTTCAAAGTTTCAAATTTTTCCAATGAGAAATAACAACATGAAAAATCTAAGAAATCAACCTACAAAAACTGAATAAGTTGAAAATACAGTCTCACATATTTCAAAGTTTTCTTGGAAAACTAGTCAAGGGAAAATTTTGAAACTTTTTGCATGTAAAGAGGAAGGTAAGAAGCTCATTTTCCCAAAATTTCAAATTTTTCCAGTGAAAAACAGCAACATGAATAATCTTGGATACCAACCTACAAAAACTGAATAAGTTGAAAATAAAGTCTCACACATTTCAAAGTTTTCCTGGAAAACTAGTAAAGGGAAAATTTTTAAACTTTTTGCATGTAAAGAGGAAGGTGAGAAGCTCATTTTCCCAAAGTTTCAAATTTTTCCAATGGAAAACATGAAAAATCTTGGAGATCAATCTACAAAAACTTAATTAGTTGAAAATACATAGTTTTCCAGGAAAACTTGTGAAGGGGAAATTTTGAAACTTTTCGCATATAAAGAAGAAGGCAAAAAGCTCATTTTCTCAAAATTTCAAATTTTTCCAGTGGAAAACAGCAACATGAAAAATCTTGGAAATCAACCTACTGAATTAATTGAAAATACAGTCTCACACATTTCAAAGTTTTCCTGGAAAACTAGTGAAGGGAAAACTTTGAAACTTTTTGCAAGTAATGAGGAAGGTGAGAAGCTCATTTTCCCAAAGTTTCGAATTTTTCCAGTGAAAAATAACAACATGAAAAATTTTGGAAATTAACCTACAAAAACTGAATTAGTTGAAAATACAGTCTCACACATTTCAAAGATTTCCTGGAATACTAGTAAAAGGGAAATTTTGAAACTTTTTGCATGTAAAGAGGAAGGTAAGAAGTTCATTTTCCCAAAATTTCAAATTTTTCCAGTAGAAAACAGCAACATGATAAATCTTGGAAGTTAACCTACAAAAACTGAATTAGTTGAAAATTTAGTCTCACATATTTCAATTTTTTCCTGGAAAACTAGTGAGGGGAAAATTTTGAAACTTTTTGCATGTAAAGAGGAAGGTGAGAAGCTCATTTTCCTAAAGTTTCAAATTTTTCCCGTGAAAAATAACAACATGAAAAATCTTGGAAATCAGCCTCCAAAAACTATATTCATTATTCTTTTGAATTTTTTAAATTTGACAATTTCCTTTAGATTCCTCATAAATTCCTCACAAATTCTCCCAAATTCCCCATAAATTCCTCCAAAATCCCTATAAATTCCCCAAATTCCTCACAAATTCCTCTAAATTTCCCACAAATGCCCATAAAGTTGACCCAATTCAAGAGCCGAGAATAAACAAAAATTGAATTTTAATTTTGAAAACTCAAATTTCTTTCTTTGATCATAGAATTTGTTAAAAATTACTAATAAATGTCTCTTTCTTTATCTAATAAGGATGAAACGAGAGAAACAAAACACTACAAAGTCTACAAACAGCCTACTTGGATGTTATATGAATAAAGTGAACTCAATTTTCAATCTTGGGCAACATTTTTCTTATTTAACCACATATAAGAAAATATGAAAACAACAACATGTTGAAAATTTGTTGTATAAAATTATTCAAACTTACGACAGAGAGGAACCATAGCAAGTTAATTTCGCAATTATTCAATAAAACCTGCTTTTTGATCAAATTCCAACCTATAATTGTCTTTCAAATATTATAGAGTACCAAAGTGGTACCTTTGCCGGACGAAAATTTTCACTAATTGGAACGAATAATTAGATTGCTATATACTTTGCACCCGAAAATATTACGTTGCAATATACCAAATTGCCCGTTGGCTGTTTTGTAAATTTGTTATTAAAATAAAAAAACATTTCAAGGTTTCGGTTTTTGTCTTATGGACGATTTCGACATTATTTGAATTTTAACTGTAATAATTTCATATATAAGTACCATTAAAATAATTATTACAACATTAAGCAATTTTAAGGAATAGGTACCAAAGACTTAAAAAAAATTATATTTGTTTTAAAAAAAAAAAACTAATTTAACCTTGTGGTTGTCACGTTCAAATATTTATTAATTAAATATTTGTTTTGATGAGTGCAAAAAACCTGTCCTAAAATCTGTTTTTTTGTACAATGTAAAATTGTCAATGCTTTCAAATTTTTTATGTAGAAAAGGCTTGTGTTGCCAACATAGTTACTAAATTATTGACTTGGGAAATTATCTTTAGATGTTTTTAGAATCAAAACCCCATTAATTAACATAATATTTTTCCATTATTTCAGACAAACAACCATGACGTACGTTGAAGAGCCACCGTTCAAACCCCCATCCCCAACACCCCCAACTACCCCAATAACCCCAATTACAACCAACAGACCCCTTTTCCCTAAAGCCCAACCGAAACTTCTCAAATCTACAGCTGATATTGTCCTATTCCTTCTGGTATCAGCTTACTATATTTTAAAAGCGATTTACAAGTTTTGCTTACCGGCTAAATATCGAGAGTTGAAGGCGCTTGATGGAGAAATCGCTTTGGTTACTGGAGGAGGTTCGGGATTAGGGAGGTTGCTGGCTTTGAGGTTGGGAAAGTTACGAGTCAAAGTGGTCCTGTGGGATGTGAATGTTGAAGGTAAGAATTTTGTATTCAAAAATTTTCAAAAAATACTTCATTGAGACTTTCAAGATTTATAGATTCAGAGTTTTTTAAGTTATAAAACAAGTGGGAAGTTGATTTGAAACTCACAACCAAAGGTACACATTTTAATATTCATTGTGGGACAATCATAAGATTTTTATAAAATTACTTCCTGAAAAATACTTTGAGGCATCACAGCAACTTGAAAATTTCAGGATTTATTAATTAGAGTTTTTCCATGATATAAAACAAGTCGGAAGTTGATATTAAACTCACAACCAAAGTTACAGATTTTATTACTCATTGATACCTGAAAAAATCATAAAATTCCTGTAAAATCACATTTGCAGGTTCCTGAAAAATACTTTCACCCATTACAGCAACTTGAAACTTTCAGGATTTATTGATTAGAGTTTTTTCATGATACAAAACAAGTTGCAAGTTGATATGAAACTTACAACCAAAATTACGAAAATTATTACTCATTGATACCTGACAAAATTATAAAATTCTTGTAAAATCACTCCTGAAAAATACTTTGAGCCATCACAGCAACTTGAAACTTTCAGGATTTATTATTTAGAGTTTTTTCATGCTACAAAACCATTAATACATAGGTACCTCGTGTTAAGCAATTTGGGGTGATTTACCAATTTTTCAATTTTTCTGAGTGCCTTTTTCCATAGATTTCGGCTTCAAATCTGAGAATAAGTTAGTGTATAGAGTTTGGGGGATGTTGATTGACCATTAGGATACAAAATCTCGACAAAAAAAAATTTGAAATTTCATCGTTTTAGTAAGAAGGTACCTACCTTATGATTTAGATTTTGGAAAACTTTGAAAGGTCATAACTTTTTTTCTATTACAGATAAAAAGCTGAAACTTTCACTGAATTTTATCCCAATGAAGTGACTACAATCCCTGAAAATCTCAACTCATTTGCACTTATAGTTCCTGAGATAAAATCGTGTCAAGCAATTTGGGGTGATTTATCAATTTTTCAATTTTTCTGAGTTCCTTTTTCCATAGATTTCGGCTTCAAATCTGAGAATAAGTTAGTGTATAGAGTTTGGGGGATGTTGATTGACCATTAGGATACAAAATCTCGACAAAAAAAAATTTGAAATTTCATCGTTTTAGTAAGAAGGTACCTACCTTATGATTTAGATTTTGGAAAACTTTGAAAGGTCATAACTTTTTTTCTATTATAGATAGAAAGCTGAAGTTTTCACTGAATTTTATCTCAATGAAGGGACTACAATCCCTGAAAATTTCAGCACATTTGCACTTATAGCTCCTGAGATAAAATCGTGTCAAGCAATTTGGGGTGATTTACCAATTTTTCTATTTTTCTGAGTGCCTTTTTCCATAGATTTCGGCTTCAAATCTGAGAATAAGTTAGTGTATAGAGTTTGGGGGATGTTGATTGACCATTAGGATACAAAATCTCGACAAAAAAAAATTTGAAATTTCATCGTTTTAGTAAGAAGGTACCTACCTTATGATTTAGATTTTGGAAAACTTTGAAAGGTCATAACTTTTTTTCTATTACAGATAAAAAGCTGAAACTTTCACTGAATTTTATCCCAATGAAGTGACTACAATCCCTGAAAATCTCAACTCATTTGCACTTATAGTTCCTGAGATAAAATCGTGTCAAGCAATTTGGGGTGATTTATCAATTTTTCAATTTTTCTGAGTTCCTTTTTCCATAGATTTCGGCTTCAAATCTGAGAATAAGTTAGTGTATAGAGTTTGGGGGATGTTGATTGACCATTAGGATACAAAATCTCGACAAAAAAAAATTTGAAATTTCATCGTTTTAGTAAGAAGGTACCTACCTTATGATTTAGATTTTGGAAAACTTTGAAAGGTCATAACTTTTTTTCTATTACAGATAAAAAGCTGAAACTTTCACTGAATTTTATCCCAATGAAGTGACTACAATCCCTGAAAATCTCAACTCATTTGCACTTATAGTTCCTGAGATAAAATCGTGTCAAGCAATTTGGGGTGATTTATCAATTTTTCAATTTTTCTGAGTTCCTTTTTCCATAGATTTCGGCTTCAAATCTGAGAATAAGTTAGTGTATAGAGTTTGGGGGATGTTGATTGACCATTAGGATACAAAATCTCGACAAAAAAAAATTTGAAATTTCATCGTTTTAGTAAGAAGGTACCTACCTTATGATTTAGATTTTGGAAAACTTTGAAAGGTCATAACTTTTTTTCTATTATAGATAGAAAGCTGAAGTTTTCACTGAATTTTATCTCAATGAAGGGACTACAATCCCTGAAAATTTCAGCACATTTGCACTTATAGCTCCTGAGATAAAATCGTGTCAAGCAATTTGGGGTGATTTACCAATTTTTCTATTTTTCTGAGTGCCTTTTTCCATAGATTTCGGCTTCAAATCTGAGAATAAGTTAGTGTATAGAGTTTGGGGGATGTTGATTGACCATTAGGATACAAAATCTCGACAAAAAAAAATTTGAAATTTCATCGTTTTAGTAAGAAGGTACCTACCTTATGATTTAGATTTTGGAAAACTTTGAAAGGTCATAACTTTTTTTCTATTATAGATAGAAAGCTGAAGTTTTCACTGAATTTTATCTCAATGAAGGGACTACAATCCCTGAAAATTTCAGCTCATTTGCACTTATAGCTCCTGAGATAAAATCGTGTCAAGCAATTTGGGGTGATTTACCAATTTTTCTATTTTTCTGAGTGCCTTTTTCCATAGATTTCGGCTTCAAATCTGAGAATAAGTTAGTGTATAGAGTTTGGGGGATGTTGATTGACCATTAGGATACAAAATCTCGACAAAAAAAAATTTGAAATTTCATCGTTTTAGTAAGAAGGTACCTACCTTATGATTTAGATTTTGGAAAACTTTGAAAGGTCATAACTTTTTTTCTATTACAGATAAAAAGCTGAAACTTTCACTGAATTTTATCCCAATGAAGTGACTACAATCCCTGAAAATCTCAACTCATTTGCACTTATAGTTCCTGAGATAAAATCGTGTCAAGCAATTTGGGGTGATTTATCAATTTTTCAATTTTTCTGAGTGCCTTTTTCCATAGATTTCGGCTTCAAATCTGAGAATAAGTTAGTGTATAGAGTTTGGGGGATGTTGATTGACCATTAGGATACAAAATCTCGACAAAAAAAAATTTGAAATTTCATCGTTTTAGTAAGAAGGTACCTACCTTATGATTTAGATTTTGGAAAACTTTGAAAGGTCATAACTTTTTTTCTATTACAGATAGAAAGCTGAAACTTTCACTGAATTTTATCCCAATAAAGTGACTACAATCCCTGAAAATCTCAACTCATTTGCACTTATAGCTCCTGAGATAAAATCGTGTCAAGTAATTTGGGGTGATTTACCAATTTTTCAATTTTTCTGAGTGCCTTTTTCCATAGATTTCGGCTTCAAATCTGAGAATAAGTTAGTGTATGGAGTTTGGGGGATGTTGATTGACCATTAGGATACAAAATCTCGACAAAAAAAAATTTGCAATTTCATCGTTTTAGTAAGAAGGTACCTACCTTATGATTTAGATTTTGGAAAACTTTGAAAGGTCATAACTTTTTTTCTATTATAGATAGAAAGCTGAAGTTTTCACTGAATTTTATCTCAATGAAGGGACTACAATCCCTGAAAATTTCAGCTCATTTGCACTTATAGCTCCTGAGATAAAATCGTGTCAAGCAATTTGGGGTGATTTACCAATTTTTCTATTTTTCTGAGTGCCTTTTTCCATAGATTTCGGCTTCAAATCTGAGAATAAGTTAGTGTATAGAGTTTGGGGGATGTTGATTGACCATTAGGATACAAAATCTCGACAAAAAAAAATTTGAAATTTCATCGTTTTAGTAAGAAGGTACCTACCTTATGATTTAGATTTTGGAAAACTTTGAAAGGTCATAACTTTTTTTCTATTACAGATAGAAAACTGAAACTTTCACTGAATTTTATCCCAATGAAGTGACTACAATCCCTGAAAATCTCAACTCATTTGCACTTATAGCTCCTGAGATAAAATCGTGTCAAGTAATTTGGGGTGATTTACCAATTTTTCAATTTTTCTGAGTGCCTTTTTCCATAGATTTCGGCTTCAAATCTGAGAATAAGTTAGTGTATGGAGTTTGGGGGATGTTGATTGACCATTGGGATACAAAATCTCGACAAAAAAAAATTTGCAATTTCATCGTTTTAGTAAGAAGGTACCTACCTTATGATTTAGATTTTGGAAAACTTTGAAAGGTCATAACTTTTTTTCTACTATAGATAGAAAGCTGGAACTTTCACTGAATTTTATCCCAATGAAGTGACTACAATCCCCGAAAATCTCAACTCATTTGCACTTATAGTTCCTGAGATAAAATCGTGTCAAGCAATTTGGGGTGATTTATCAATTTTTCAATTTTTCTGAGTGCCTTTTGTGCACAAAAGTTACACACTAAAGTTATGATTAAAAATAAGGTGGAATGGCCATTGGAATGTTTAGCTTTGATACCTCAACTCTATTGTCATCCCTGGTTTTGGGTGAATTCTCAAAAGACATTTTTCTTTAGTTCAACATTCAGCTTTTAGGGGATCTGAATTTTCAATAATTTTTGGTAAATTTTAGCTCTACAATGGTCAACAATCAGAATTAATAATTGTCTTGTTCAATTGGCACTACAAGAGTTTGGAATAAAATTTTCAGTGTGTAAAAAAGTCAACATTTCAACTTGAAAGTGATATAAATAGCCAAGGGGTTTCTAGGTTTCCATATACACATTTTTAAACAGGACTTCAACAATACCCTACAGGACTTGACTAGAACTATGTAGAACTATACAGTACTTCAACAGGACCACACAATAAACAGCACTATACAATACTTCAACAAGACTATACAGGATTTCAACAAAAATATACAGTATTTTAACCAAGGGGTAAACTGCTGATCCAGTTTTTGTACATCACAATGCCTAATTG